GCAAGTTCCCTCCTGTAACAGCAAGGACTCAGAGTGTATTCTTTTTTCTGACATACAAATTCACTGACAAGTTTACCAAAGATAACATTTTCAATTTTAGTCCATTTAAAATTTAAACTTATTTTGTGATTTTGTGCCTTTCAAGTTAGTTTTCCTTCATGAAAACCAGCTGATTAAATGAACTGCAGAAATACATAGACCAAAAATGGCATATAAAAATGAAATTAATCTAAGCCTCAAGTGAACTATAAGCCATGAAACATTTATAAACCAAATGACTTCATTCTCCTGGTAACTGCATTAATGAACCATTAATACATATGCCAGAATACCGTGAAGCTACTCTTATAAATATAACATTGTATGTGCAGAAAATATGCATTTAAATTTTTTTCCATTAATGAATCATCTAATATATAGAGTATTTGTATATATACATACATATCTCCAATACAGAGAGAGAAAGCTTATTTTATTTTTTATTTATTTTTTAATGTTTATTTATTTTTGAGAGAGGGAGAGAGAGAGAGAGAGGGAGACAGAGAATCCAAAATGAGCTCTGTGTTGACAGCAGAGAGCCCAATATGGGGCTCGAACTCACAAACTGTGAGATCATGACCTAAGCCAAAGTCATATGCTTAACCGACTGAGCCATCCAGATGCCCAGAGAGAACATTTAAATCAATATTATAAATAGTCACAGTTTCATCAGTTAATTATTTTAATTCAACTACTTAAGTAATTATTTCTGGGTTCTGAGTGATCAAAAAAATGGGATAATATGAAAAAAGTTCTTACCTGATGCAAAGAGCACTATGTTCTGCTTGCAATTATTTTCCTTTCCTTTCCTCTTTTCCCATTCTCTCTCCCTCCATCCTTCCCTCCCTTTCCTCTCTTCTCTCTCTAAACTCTCTCCTAAGGTGATCTTATCCATTTCCTTGGCCCTATACATCATCTCTGTATAGACAGTTCCTGAAGTCATACACAGCGCTCACCTTTCTTCACAGCCCCAGACCATTTGTTATCTCATAGCCATAACCGATTTTAGCCAAACTCGTTTTTAAAAATCTCTACACTCCCCAACTGAATACTCTCTCCTCCATTCCAAGAAATGGAATTGCAAACCATTTACTCACTTAACTCTGAAATCATCTAATTCTTCAATGAATGCTACAGATTCTACCTCTAAAATATGTCTTCCACTAACCAATTCTCTCCATCTCCACTATCACTATAGGTTAAGCCACCATGTTCTCCCACTTAGACTTCTGTTTGTAATTACTTGAAAAAGTGATGGGGCACCCGGATGGCTCAGTCGGTTGAATGTCCGACTTTGGCTCAGGTCATGATCTCGCAGTTTGTGAGATGGAGCCTGATGTCAGATTCTGTGCGGACAGATCTGGAAGACAGATCTGTGCTCAGATCCTGGAGGCTGCTTCAGATTCTGTGACTCCTTTTCTCTCTACCCCTTCCCTGCTCCTGCTCTCTCTCCCCAAAATAAATAAACAAAAAAAAAACACAAAAAAGTGAGATGTCCCTTTTAAAATATCACATTGGTAGACTGTAATAAGTTTACATCGTAAAGACTATTGAAATTGTACCTTTAATGGCATAGTGACTTGCCAAAATCGGGGGGGGGGGTAGGGGGGGTGGAGGGGTCTCTTTGGTTGCTTCTGACTGCAATTAACAGTGGGAATAAGGAGAATTTTCATCCATAATTTCTTACTCTGTTTCTGGTGATCTGTCAGGTGTTAAAGAGATTGTGAGATGATCAACAGTTTTACCTGAAACAATTCACCCTGTATCTGACAATTAGGCAAACATGTATGTGTTAAATTAGAAGATAAATACTTAGATGGATGGATAACAATCACTACTTTTAAATTTGCATACTTAGAGCCCAGGATTTCTAATGGTGTGTATCAGTTTAAGAATCACATAAGATTATGACATCCTTACTGTGATCCTTTGGTATAAAAACAGAGGCTCAGAAAGCTACATGACTCTTGCAAACTCACACACCTAATATGTGACAGAACCTAGCTTGGACCACCAATTCTCACATCCAGCCCTGTTTTCCTTCATTTCTCAAACTGTTTCTCCCAAAAGACTGTCTGTGGCTGTCCAAAATACTGTTGTTAGAAACGTACCTTTTTGGAAACACTAAATGATATTTATGTGCAGCCTTCAAAAAATATTGGCAGAACAGAGCTGCCACTGAACAACTTCAAGAAAAACGTATCATCATTTTCTACCCCTGCAGACAAAGAAATGGATTGTTTGTTACCAGTGTTTATCAAGTAATTACTTAATTTTGGCAGTCTGTATTGCAATTTAGTGTACAATGATTCCATTGTAACCATAAATTACTATTCTTATTAAGGTAGAAATAATATGATACAATCTGTGTTCCATTACTTTCTTTTTAGTTTATTTATTTTGAGGGAGAGCACCTGTGCAGGAGCGAGGGCGTGTGGGGGAGGGGCAGAGAGCAAGAGAAAGAGAGAGAGAGAGAATCCCAAGCTGGCTCACCAACTATGAGATCATGACCTGAGCCAAAACCAAGAGTCGGGCACTTTATTGACTGAGGCACCCAGCAGACTCCTGTTTTTGTTTTTGTTTTTTTAGTTTATTTCCATTACTCTTTTAAAAACTATATTTTGGTCAGTATTCTCTACATGCTCCTTTTGTTAATACCACCTAAGATCTGTTTCTGATCATGTTCCCATTAAAAACCATGCTGCTTCTATTTTATAAGTCTGAAACCACAGCCCTGAATATTACATAGTCAAATGAAAATGGGCATAAAATTCTGTTCCAATGCATGAATTTTAAAGAGCTCAATGTGTTCTATGCAAGAAGATAGAACTACAAGGTTTTCCCTCATTAATGTTGTCATAATTTATTGTTGTGTTCCAATTTGGCTATTTCTTGTTAGCTTCCACTTTTGTCTGAGAAAAAATGGAATCGAGCAGAATTATTACTGAACGCATGAGGTTTTTAGTTTGGTAATAATTAAACACTAGCAAAAAGATAATTTGCATCTGAAATTATGAAAGTTGATGTGAGTAGTAGTTGAATTATACATTCTTAGTAACCATATTATTATGAAATCTTTTTAAAATGTAATAACAAAATCCAATTTATATACATTTAGCAGACCAATAAAATTAATTTTTATAGGAAATCTTTCCTACTAATTACGTAAATTCCTCCACAAGGTATCTAACCACCTGGATCTTTAGTTCTCTCATCTGAAAAATAAGAATACAATTAGGGACACCTAGGTGGCTCAGTCAGTTGAGCGTTTGACTTCGGCTCAGGTCATGATCTCACAGTTTGTGAGCTCAAGCCCCACACTGGGCTCACTGCTGTCAGCAAGGAACCCGAGTCAAATCCTCTGTCCCCCGTCCCCTTATCTGCCTCTCTCTCTCTCTCTCTTTCTCTCTCTCAAAAAAAATGCATAGAATTTATACCTACCTGTTAAGGACTATTTATTTTATCTTATCAAATTCATTTTATTTTTCCATGTTTTATAATATACCTAAGTTATTAAAATGAATACACATATGTAACACACATTAGTATATATGTGTGAGTATAAATAAATTTGTGTATAAAACATGAGTTAAATTATACAGGCTTTTGTAACAGGAATAATTAACACAATGTGGAGCAAATAGTAAATGCTCAGTAATATTATCTGTTATGATTATGCTTCTAGGTGGAAATAAAGTTGGAGAATAACAGGTAACTATATTCACTCTCTGTCCAATATTTATAGTAATTCACCACATAAATATTTATTAATGAATTCTTCTTTGCTATTACATAAATCTACATGAAAAAATCCATCTCACTAAAAGAAGGTGATGGGTATCTTATGTACACAAATAGTGATTACATATGAAAGATTACTTCAACTTTTATCTCTTATTTTTTCGAAAGAAATAAAAATTTTAATGACAGACTAAGAATGGACTTTCTTGCCAGTATACCACTTATTATTTTGATTAAACTCTCTCAGATACCAATCAGTAATGATGCAAGCATATTTTATCTATATTTCTTTCAGCAATGAAAGGCAAAATCTATCCCATGCTCTGCCACAATTCTACCTTTGCAATTGTAGCATTAAATGTTTTCAAGGTATTCCATCACACTGAGTGGGTAAAAGGAGTTGCAGCAGTTTGAAAAATTGACCAAATATTTTATATATATATATAAATATATGTATATGTGTGTACGTGTATATACATATATATGTATATATACATATATATTTAAATGTAATTCTTAACATAGAAATTCTATTTCATAAAACAGTAGCTCCACTTTTTGGCACTAGGATATCACTCATTACCTACAGCTTAAATTTTTAATTTAGTGGACATTTATTTAGTCAAGCATTGCCTTAATATATAGGTGTCCTTTTACAAACAACTCTGTACTTTGAAGTATTTATATTTTCATTCACAAACTTGAACTAGGCAAATTAGTGTACTTAATGACAAAACAATATCTTTAATACAATTTTGTTTCTTTTTAAAAAATATTTTGGGTCTTTGGTTTAAAATGGCACTAGGCCAGAAAGTTGCCCCACAATTTCTAAACAAGATGCTCATGGGGGTTTAGAAAAAGTGATGTTTGGAATCAGCCTACTGCCAGCATCTGGGTAGAATTTCTATGATAAACTTGATGAGTCTGCAGTGAGAAAAATGACTTCTATCACATTCTTCGCATCACGCAGGACAACAGTCATTCATATGAAAAGAAGGAGGTAGATTCCTGAGATCCTTGGAGTCATCGGCTTTATACATATTAGAAGAAAAAGCAGCCATGCCATTATGGTAAGGATTCTGTTTTGTTTTTTTTTTTCCCAATGTCTATTTATTTTTGAGAGAGTGAGGAAGGGGGGAGAGAATACATGGGGGGGAGAGGGGGAGAGAATTCCAAGCAGGATCCACACTATCAGTGCAGAGCCTGATGCGGTGCCAGATCTCATCAACTGTGAGCCAAAAATCAAGAGTCTGACGCTTAACTGACTGAGCTGCCCCAGGGACCCCAGGATTCTGCTTGAGTGCCAGTGGCAAAATCTGGCCACCTGCTTGTATGCTGATACATACTTAAAGAAGGCTTCTTCTAGTGAGAAGGAGGCTCGGTGTTGGGGAATACCATGAAGAGGAGTTGCAGCAGTAGCACTGGGGTGGAAGTTGTTGATTGTCAAGGTTGATGCATCCTGGAACTACCGTCTCCCCTCTATGCGGCTATTGGTAGTGTCAAAGATAAGAGGTATTTAGTGACAATTTATATTGGGCGAATAGAGCTTTTCATGTCACACAGTACTTTTGCTGAATAATCTGATGATCCAGCCTACTATAAAAGTCCAACAGAAGAACTACCATTTGTATTTATTCTTATCCAATGAAAAACAAACATTAAGCTTTACCAGTATTTTGTATACAAATCTATACTGTACCCTCCTTCTTTTCCAGGGCTCACCTGCAGTGTTAGTGAGGTTTTGAGGGAAGAGTCGGAGCCCACAGCTTAGAGGGGTTGACAGGAGTGCCCGTTTTCATCCCTTCCCTTTTGCAGGACAGCAACATATTGTGGTTTATAAATGCCCACTAAATAGAGTAATGGACTGGATTTGTGTTTAACTTAAATTTTCCTCACAAGATCACACATGTCTTCAAAGTCAAAGTCAGAGAACAGATTAAATGAGAAGACAAAAATTTAGAACAAAACATAAGAGGAGGAAGCTGATACCAAAAAGGAGTTGGGTTATTTAGGAAGCATGTAAAGAAGCCATTTAGTAAAACAGAATAATTTAAATCCTCAATGGAAATGATAGAGTATAAATGATAGTTCAGAAATTTTAATCAGGGCTGTAGAGAATACACTTAAGATATTACCTTCTAATTCAGAAGAAAAGGACAAAGAGATTAAAATGAAAGAGAAAAGAATAGCAAAGAAATGAACAATTAATAACAGGCAAAAATTTAAAGTATTAATAATTTTAAACTAAAATTAGAATTAACTTTGACACATCAAATTAACATAGACAAAATTAAGTGAAAACATCTAGTTTTAGTAAATATGAAGGCAATCAGAACTCTCTTAGAGTTTATTTTACTGTACATTGTATTTAAAAATCCATAGCAGGTAATTAGGCATTGAAACACATTATAAAACTTGTATGTTACCTGACTTATCAAATCCAATGGAAAGAATTTATCCTAAGAATGTAATCAGGGACACACATAAAGTAAAATCTCCTACTGGCCTGAATGTCTAAGGGACTAGTTAAATAAATCATGATACACCTCTGCAACTGAACACTTTGTGGTTTGAAGCCCATTAAAGATAACTGCAAATTCTTTGACACTCCTCTTATTAAGAAGTGGGATCTATTTCTCTTCACCTTGGATATGGGCTGGCCTTAGTGCCTTGCTTAACCAATAAAATGTGGTAGAAGTGGTGTTCTCAGATTCTCAGAGTTGGGTAATAAAGAAGAAGCTATTCAGCTTCTGCTCGGGTCTCTTGCAACACTCGTTCTTGGACCACTTGCCATATAATAAGACCAGCTATCCTGAGGCTGTCATGCTGGAGAGGCTGTGTGAGGACACCACATGGAGAGGTCCTGTAACCAAAAGAAAAAGAGATGTTGGGCATTTCAAGTCTCCAGCTTTTCCAGTCATCCCAGTTGAGGCCACAGTTATCAGGAAACAGAAAGAACTCATCTCTGCCAAGACCTGCCGAAACTGCAGATAGATAAGAAAAAGGAATGGTTCTTATTTTAAGCCACTACATTTTGGAGTGGTTTGTAATACAGCAATAAATAAGTAGAACATGATTTGGTGTGTGGAATTGGTATAGGGACAGAAAATTCTCTTCTTCCTTCCAGATGCTTTGGTTGGTCTAATAATTAAATTGACATAAGCCAAAAAAAATGGATTTGTGAAGAATTGATGAGACAAAGAAGTGTGGGCTTAGGGTAGTAAATTAGTGAGGAAGATGGCACCTGGGTGGCTCAGTTGGTTGAGCAGTTGACTCTTGATTTTGGCTCAGGTCAAGATCCCAGAGTCATGGGATCAAGACCCGTGTCAGGCTCCATGCTGAGTGTGGAGCTGCTTAAGATTCTCTTCCTCTTTCTGCCCCTCCCCCACTCATTGTCTCTAAATAAATAAATAAATAAATAAATAAATAAATAAACAAACATTTAAAAAAAGAAATATACTCTCAAATTCATTTGGCAGAATTGATTTTCAGGACTGACCATTTTACATATATTCCTCAAATCATGTAATAGCCTTTAGAACTTACATGAGTTCGTTTTAGTTAAATACATATATTACAGTGCTATATATGTTTTACATATATGTTCCTATATACATGAAGTTAGAAACAGTAATAGCTCACAGTAATTAGCATAACATAGTGATAAATTAATTGCTTAGCAAATATTAATGACAAACATTTCTATTAAGAAATAGACGTATCACATTCCTTGGCATTTACACAAAGGAATTGAAAAATGTATGTCTATAACAAAGCTACACATTGATGTTTATAGCAACTTCATAATTGCCAAAACTTGGAAGCAACCAACAGGTTCTTCAGTAGGCAAATGGATAAATAAACTGTGATACATCCATACAATGAAATATGCAGCACTAAAGAGAAAGGAGTTATCAAGTCATGAAAATATATGCAGGAAACTTAAATATATATTATGCGGTGAAAGAAGTTAATCTGGAAAGGTTATATACTCTATAATTCCAACCCTATGATATTTAGAAAGAGCAAAACTATGAACACATTAAAGACCAGTGATCTCCAAGGGTTGCAGGACAGTGTTTTTATATGGAAATATCCTGCCAAGCAACTGTTAAAGCTGTGAATTTTAGGCTGTGGATATCATACTATAGTTATCACAGAATAATAGTGATATTGAGAGATCTTATTGGAAAGGTTGCTTTACAGTTGTTGTAGGAAGCATCTTATATGGTTCTGATTGATACCAGCATCCTGGTGCTCATGTTTTGTATAATACCTTTCCTTGAATGTAATCTGGACAAGTAGCTTGGTTCTAATCAGTAAAACATGACAATGGTCATGGGGTGTAATGGCCACGATTAAGTTACAAATGATTGTGACTTCTGTCTTGTTGGGAGACTCTATCTATTGTCTGCATGGCTTGCACACTTTGATGATATGAGCTGCATTGTGGGAGAGGCCCAGGAGGCATGTAACTGGGTGGGCTCCAGTAAATAGACAGGTAAGAAGTGAGGATCTCAGTCAACCCAATCTGAATGCCGCCAACAGTCACTGAGTGAGCCTGGTGACAGACCCTTCTCTGGCTGCAACTTCAGATGAGATGCTAGTTCAGATGAGATTCCTAGTTCAAACACCTTCATTGCAGCCTTGTCATAGGCTGTGAAAACAGGGGACCCAAATAAGCCATGTGAGGTTTCTTGACCCAGAAACTATGAGATAATGAATGTGTGTTGCTCCGTAACAATAGATAATAAAAGATCCTTTTCAGTAAAACTGCTTTTATGTAAGTTCTTAAATAAATACAAAAAACAACTAATTAAATGAACAAAACTCATCTTCATAAAAATCATGCCAATTTTATGAAATTCTCCTTTTCTAAGAAAGTCATATAATTCATCTGGCAAGGCAAAACAGTATCTACTATAATGTGTCTTCTAGATGGCAGACACTCATGCTATTTCTCCCTAAATCATCTGTTATAATGAAGAAGGGAAATGGGAGGTATGAGATTCATCCAACAAAACCTACGTGATACCAGAGGACCTACAGCTCACCTTTTTCTAGAGGGAAGGACAGTATCAACTTCCTTCATTAAGACCACCACAGAGTTTTGTCTCAGAGATTTCCCTAGTCATCATTTCCTTCAGACACACAGGCATCCATACAATAATGTAAGATGGCTTCTTCCCCCATTGCCCTCAGGCAATTTACTTAGCTTCCCTGGATCTCCATTTTTTTATCAATAAAATGAAGTTTTTGGATTATATGATGTATAAAAACACCTCCCATAACTACTAAAATATGGCAAATAAGTGCATCTAAAAAGATGCTACATTCTTGATGTGGCCACTCCAGAAGCTTCTGATAAGAGACTATAATCTTTAATGCAAAGTTGTTGGATGTACAGCCTGAATGTGCCAACAATTTCTGCTCACACATTTTATTGCAAACTTAAATCCTCTGCAATCCACAGAGATTCTTTTGAGTAGAGCCTCTAGGCTTTTTTTTTTTTTTTTTTTGGACACTTGTTTTTTTCATATTCCTAGTTCAACTTTAAAAGTATTTACTCCTCACACAAAAAACCATAAAATACCTAGGAATAAATCTAACCAAAGAGGTGAAAAATCTATACACTGAAAACTATAGAAAGCTTATGAAAGAAATTGAAGAAGACACAAAAAAATGGAAAGAGATTCCATGCTCCTGGATAGGAAGAACAAATATTGCTAAAATGTCAATAATACCCAAAGCAATCTACATATTCAATGCAATCGCTATCAAAATAACACCAGCATTCTTCACAGAGCCAGAACAAATAATCCTAAAATTTGTATGGAACCAGAAAAGACCCCAAATAGCCAAACCAATCTTGAAAACCAAAAGCAGGAGGCATCACAACCCCAGACTTCAAGGTATACTACAAAGCTGTAATCATCAAGACAGTATGGTACCCGCACAAGAACAGACAGTCAGATCAATGGAACAGAATAGAGAACCCAGAAACGGACCCACAAACATATGGCTAACTAATCTTTGACCACGCAGGAAAGAATATCCAATGGAATAAAGACAGTCTCTTCAGCAAGTGGTGCTGGGAAAACTGGACAGGAACTTGCAGAAGAATGAACCTGGACCACTTTCTTACACCATACACAAAAATAAACTCAAAATGGATGAAAGACCTCAATGTAAGACAGGAAGCCATCAACATCCTCGAGGAGAAAGCAGGCAAAAACCTCTTCGATCTTGGCCGCAGCAACTTCTTATTCAACATGTCTCCAGAGGCAAGGGAAACAAAAGCAAAAATGAACTACTGGGACCTCATCAAAATAAAAAGCTTCTGCACAGTGAAGGAAACAATCAGAAAAACTGAAAGGCAACCGACAGAATGGGAGAAGATATTTGCAAATGACATATCAGATAAAGGGTTAGTATCCTAAATCTATAAAGAACTTATCAAACTCAACACCCAAAAAACAAAGAATCCAGTGAAGAAATGGGCAAAAGACATGAATAGACATTTCTCCATAGAAGACATCCAGATGGCCAGCTGACACATAAAAAAATGCTCAACATCACTCATCATCAGTGAGTTACCACCTTACACCTGTCAGAGTGGCTCACATTAACAACTCAGGCAACAACAGATGTTGTTGAGGATGTGAAAAAGAGGATCTCTTTTGCCACTCTGGAAAACAGTATGGAGGTTCCTCAAAAAACTAAAAATAGAACTACCCTATGACCCAGCAATTGCATTACTAGGCATTTATGGAAAGGATACAGGTGTGCTATTTCGAAGGGACACATGCACCCCCATGTTTATAGCAGAACTATCAACAATAGCCAAAGTATGGAAAGAGCTCAAATGTCCATCACTGGATGAATGCATAAAGAAGATGTGAGATATACACACACACACACACACACACACACACACACACACACACACACACACACAATGGAGTATTACTTGGCAATCAAAAAGAATGAAATCTTGCCATTCATGGATGGAACTGGAGGGTATTATGCTAAGTGAAATTAGTCAGAGAAAGACAAAAATCATATGACTTCACTCATATGAGGACTTTAAGAGACAAAACAGATGAACATAAGGGAAGGGAAACAAATATAATATAAAAACAGGGAGGGGGACAAAACAGAAGACACTCATACATATGGAGAACAAACTGAGGGTTATGGGAGGGGTTGTTCAAGGGGGGATGGGCTAAATGGGTAAGGGGCACTAAGGAATCTACTCCTGAAATCATTGTTGCACTATATGCTAACTAATTTGGATGTAAATTCAAATATAAATAAATAAATAAAACTAGGAAAAACAAAAGTAATTATTCCTCATATTCATTACTCTAGAAGTGACAATTCCTTTCCTTCAGAGCAAGAAAGAAATAAAAAAATGTTCCACAACAGGGGCACCTCGGTGGCTCAGCTCAGTCACTCAAGCATCTGACTCTTTATTACGGCTCAGGTCATGATCTCACAGTTCATGGGATTGAGCATTGAGTTGGGTCATGGGCTGATAGTGTGGAGCCTGCTTGGGGTTCTCTCTCTTCTCTCTCTCTGCCCCTCCCTCTCCCTCCCTCTCTCTCTCAAATAAACAAATAAAGATTAAAAAAAAAAATTCCACAACTGCCAAAGAGAAATAAGCACAAAACTGAATGATACTCCCTATGGTAACGCATTTTGAAATAAATGAATATTTATGAGGTGTTTAATGAATCTAAAACTAATGATAAAAGTCAGAGAAATTAGAAGAGGAAAAATAATCAGCACTGTACAAATAATAATTTACAAAAGAAAATCAGAGAAGCAAAAAATAACGTAGGTAAGACGCAGATGCTAAAG